AAAAAAAATTTCAGGGTTTTTGTTTTGTTTTGTTTTTTTAGACAGTGTCTCGCTGTGTATTCAGGCTAATCTTAAGTGACTAGGTAGCTCAGCCTAGACTCAAACTCATGGCAATCCCTAGCCTACCAACTGCTGGGATTACAGGTATGTATCACTGTACCCAGCAAAATTTCCCACAAGTAGAAAATTTGACCTTGAAATCCTTTAACTCTACAAAGGCAATCAAACATCAAACAATACATCAAAGTACTCTGTTCAGAGATACATGCATGCATGTATGTGTGTGTATACACACATACCCACACTTATGTATGTTCACTATGCACAGTTATATACACATACGTACATATGTACATGATCCTATGTGATGTTTATATCATCTTGCTGGATTGTGTTTTTATTTATATAGAATAGCAAATTCCTTTGGAAAACATAAGGAGGTCTAACAGTATTAATACTTCTTATTTAGTAGTGGTGGAAATGAACCAGGGTTTACCTTACTTCATACTCTTCCTCAAGTGCCACATTCTAGCTAAATGATTTTCTTTCAACCCTCTGAACAAACTTAGCTCTTTTCCTGCCATGGATCATAACAAACCATTCATTTATCTGTGACGGTCATACTCTGACTCTACCTTGCTAACTCCATTCTCATCCTGTACTGCCATACAGTACTACCATGATTTCCACAGAGGCCTCCTTCACTCCTACTTTAAATCTGGTTGCCCCTGGTATACTCTATCTCTACCCTCTGAATTTACCTACTATTTGATGATCTCTACAAGGCAAAATCTGTGTCTCCAACATTTAGCACAGGGCTTGGTTCATGGGAGGTGCTCAAGAAATAAATAAGTGAGAACACCACCGTAAAGAAAGTAGAATAACTTCTTTTGGGGAGAAAATTTCTCACATTTTATAGCTTAACTTTAAGAAATATTTTTTTTAAATATTTATTTATTTTTATTTATTACATTTATTTATTGTGTGTGTGTGTGGCCAGCTCAGCCCACCAGGGGGCGGGTCTGGCTGGCACGTGGTGCTGGGGATCGAACCGCGGTCCCTGTGCTTTGCCAAGCTTGTTTCAAGTAGGTGCTTTAGACCACTGAGCCATCTCTCCAGCCCTTTAAGAAATATTTTTAAAATGTGAATGGCATCAGAATATAGGGAAGTCAATTTATAAATTATTGAAACTTATTTTAATACTCACCAGCAATGCTTTTCCGTTTTTGAAATTCTGCATGGTGGGGAGCAAATGACTGTATTGCATCTTCAGGGTTTTCAGAATCATGATTTGCTGTGCTCCTTATAAATTCTAGTGCAGCATGGAGAACTCTAAGCTGTAGGGCAAGAGCCATACCTACAAAGAGAAGAAAATAGGATGTTTCCAAACTATGAGATTGTTAATTTTATAACTGATCTTATTTTTATATCATCCAATGTCTAAATTGTTAATTATTAGGTACTAATTTAAAATTTTTGATCAACATAGGTTTTCAATGTTAGTCAGAATGTTTTTCTTTAACGGTGCTTAAAAACAACTCATTTTTGGTAGTCCTAGGGACAAGTACTTTACCAGTAAGTCTCATCCCCAGCCTAAGCAATTTTAAGGTGTTTTAAAATAGTCATGACAGGGCCAGCCAAATAGCTCAGCTAATTAAAGTGCCCGCTTAGGCAGAAACAGGGTCCAGAAGTTTGATTCTTGGGCCTGCTGTGCCAGCCCTGCCCCCAGGGCACGCTGAGATGGCGATTGAGACTGGACATGGTAGCATGCACCTATAATCCCAGCACTTGGGAGGCTGTAAACAGAAAGATCATTATGAGTCTGAAATACACAGTGAGACCCTGTACACCCTGTCTTAAATTAAAAAAATAAATTAATACATTAATTAAATTAAATAGTCACAATAAAAGGTAAAGGAAAATACTCAAAGTTGAAAACTGACTTAACTGTACATAAATATTTGTATGTAAGTCAAAAGTTTAACCAGAAGTCCTCTTATTTTTCCATTTCATGTTTAGTTTAATATATGCCATTAAAGAAAAAAGGGGTTTTATTATTCAACAAAGCCTTTTAATAACACTTGATAAGGAAAATCAGTAACTTCTTCTGATGGTATGTTGCCAGTTTCTAGTCAAGGTATCACTTTTTCTATTTTGGCCACTCCAAAAGGCTGTTTTGCTTTGTGTTTTTTTTTTTTTTAATGTATATATTTAGTACAGGTCTCACTACACAGATTGGACTTGTAGTGATCCTCTTGTTTTTAGTCTCCCAAGCACTGGGACTACAGACTTGGGCCACCATGCCCAGTCTCATTTGCAGTCTCAACAGGCCCTGGGGGAGAGGGCCAGCATGTCATGCCTGGTATCAAACCCCAGTCCCTGCATCTGCCTAAGCAGGTGCTTTAGTCAGCTGAGCTATCTGGCCAGCCCTGAAAAGGCTGTTTTTTTTAAAAAGCCAATCAGTATCATCACAAAATTCAAGTTAAAACTTCAGTAAAAAAATTAAGACATTAGGCCCCAGTACAATGTCTGCTACTATACAACTTCCCCCCAAAATCCATAAAATTAAATCTTACTTTGTGTCTTCTTGTTTTTACTATTTTGAAGATATCCAAGGAGTACAATAAGATCTTCAATAACTCTAAAATATTGTGAACCCGAGGAACTGCAAGCATGAATTGTAACTGCTATGAAAAGTTGCTGTATATCACATGCAAGTAATTTGTACTCATTCAAAGGAATGCTAAAGATAACCAAAAAGCAAAAACAAAAAAAAAAATAGGATATTTATAAGAACAAGAACCAATAATTTAAGACAAAGAGAACTGGTTTAAATTCTTACTGTATCAGCATGTATTCATTCAATATTTATTCATGCTCACTCTACACAGGTAATACACACTATAAACTAAGAATAGAAATAAGATGAAACTTTTTAATTACTGTCAAAATAGTCCTGCAGAGGACCAGGCAAGTACAGAGATTGTTATGACAATAAATGGTGTTAAATTTAATAAAAGACATTAACCCAAGAGAGGGGGAACACATAAGCAGGTTCTTGGCTTATATTAAGGATGAACAGCATAAGAGTGTGAGCAAAAATATTCTGGAAGGCGCTCCAGAAAAGGTGAATGTAACTAAATTAACATCTCTGAATACCATTTGTATAAATTATAATTTTTAAGCATTAAAAGAAACTGTAATAGGTTTAAATATATATTAATCACCTCTACACAATAACTATAAATCAGTTATTTCTGCCTCCCATTTTTAACCTTGATAATCTACCTCAATGAGTGCTATTAGGCCATGCACTTCTCTCTATTTATTTTTTCAAGTCAAGCAAAGGGGGCCAGGGAGATGGTTCAGTGGAATAAGTGCTTCCTGGCAAGCACAAGGGCCTGAGTTCAATCCCCAGTTCCGAAAAAAAAAACAAAAAAACAAAAACAAATACAAAAAAAACATTCAAGTCAAGCAAAGGTTAAACATGGCAACCATTGATAGAGTACCATTCAGGGCTATCTGTAAGCATAACTTACTTTTTACAAAGTAAACAAAATCTACTTTTAAAATAAGCTGCCTTCTTAGGTTTTGCCATTTTCATGTACTATACTGCAATTAAGACTAAGTGTTTTGAGAAAACATAGTATTTTATTTTATTTTGTATTTTAGGGAAGGGTCTACAGGGTGTTCAGGGTCTCACTGCATAGATCGGACTCATAGTGATCTGCCTGTTTGCAGCTTCCCAAGAGCTGGGATTACAGGCACATGCCACCATGCCCAGTCTCTAACTACTTCTTTTTTATTTTTTGGTGGTACTGGAGATTGAGCTCAGGGACCTTGTACTTGCCAGGCAAGGGCTTATTCTACTGAGCTATCTCCCTGGCCCTAAATTAAAACCGTTTTT